CTTTTTTATTTCATTTCCAAGAATGGGGTAGGGCTAAACCATAAATACAGTCAACTTTCTCTCTTTAAAGACTGTTTTAAGACAGGAGAGTCAAACGTTAAAAATACACAAATAACTTTTAATGATCCCTCTCTAGCCTCCCCAGACAAAACACTCACCTCATGAGTGGTGGATGCCACATGCCAAGCACCTCTAATTAAACTGCTCTCATTAAAAGGAAGGAAGGAGGAGCTAAGCCAGTATGACTAGAGAAATAATTACATATTTAATAAAAATACAACTTTATTTCTTTTCCAGCTGTCACGGAAGGTCTAAAAAAGGAGAAGGGTAAGTTAGATGCCAACTCACCACAACAATGGAGAAACTGCTAATATAACGAAGCTTAAGGTAAGCTAGTCATCAGCGTGACATCTTACCCATTCCCCAGGGCAAACACTCCTTCATGCCAAGCAAGAGGAATGATGTAAGCACCTAGAACCCTTTGTAGAAACAAGTCTTTTATTCACATCATTAGTCACTAGCATTGGGTGAATGCCTGTGTTAAGACAAGGTTTCTAGAAGACACAGACTTTCATACAGAATTATTTTTCAAAATAAACTTTGCCTTTGTAAGGCAGCTCTGGCAAGTTACTCATTTGTGTATTTTTTCAAATTCAATTCTGACAAATTCTGCTAACTTGTACATTTTAAATTTGAAAACATATTCAGCCTCTTATTTTACTCAAATTATCAAAACATGCTGTTATCATTTTAGCTTAAAAAGTTAAGAACATACTAGGAACAGAAAAGTTAAGAAACATACTAGAACACAGAGCTTAAAATTTTCAAAAAAAATTATAAGTGTCATATATGCTAACAATTATACTGAATGATACAGTTGTATTTATTTGATAAATTTAAATGTCTTCTTTTAGTATTATTGCCTGTTGAATTCAAGCAAAATGACAGAAAGTACCAACCTAAAGAAACAGCTATGTGTTCTACAGTTTCTGATTTGATTTCCAGATGCCGCTGAACAATGTTTGAAGACCCTTTGCTAAACTCTCCATCCCTAGAAAAACATGACCTTGAATCCAGTTGTTAATAGATTTATAACTGGATGTACATGGTCATACTGTAAGATTCTTCCTAAAAGACAACCTTTAAAGTTGGATTGTTTCCTAAACCAACAAAGAACAAGAGAAGTGGTGACCTTTTGAGAGTCACAGTTGACACAGTCAATCCTAGGCAACAGTTGGCAGCACCAAGTCATAAGAGAAGGAAATCCATGAGCACAGAAGCAGACTTTACAGCCTACATTTTTCTCCTTTATTTGGGCCATCACAAGAAGGACAAATTATTTTGTACAACGATTAAGCACTATCATAGATTAGGCAGCTAGAGTATTATTAATCCTGAAGGGAAAATGTACTAAGCTCTTCTTCCCTAAGTGCCGGCTGTCAAAAACTGTCAGAGTTAGTCAAAAACTTTTAATGTTCCAATCAAACTACAGAGTGAGTGGAAAGTCACTGCGTGAAACCCATTAAGCTACGTTACGAAATGTTCAATGTTACATAAAAAGTATAAGTAACTTTGTACTTTTAGCTTTTTAAAATTTTGATTTTCTTGAAGCAATAATGATGTACTGCTTCAGTTAATAAAAGTAATTTTGGAACTGCCTTTGTGTTTAATCCACACAATCTTTCTGTGTAGAATAAAGATGGCAAGTAATAATCAGATCAGTAGAATGCTAAGGATTCCTGGAATATCTGTTGTTAAACTTAAGAAGGTTTCCAAAGACAATGGAGGACTAAAAAAAAATTAATCATTAGGCTTAATAATTTTGAGGTGGCTTTCTTTGGGGTGAATAAAATGCAGTTTTCATAAAAGGCATCTAGTCTTTCAATATTTGCAAAGGAACTCACATTCTAGTAAATGAGAATTGCTTACTCCCAGCCTAAAAATAACAAACCTGCAGCCAATATGGAAAATATACTACCTCAACATCCAAAAGTGATTGCAAAAGTAAGAAGGGTTTGTTTTTACACACTAAAACCCAGCCTTTCTTCCTTCAGCATATGGTTTAAAGGCACACATGAGAATGCTGATAGGTGATACTTACCCAAATAAGAGGATAAATATGCAGAGGACCAAACTGAAATCACTAACATGGAAATGCTCCTTTTTTTTTTCTTAAACTTTTAAAAAAGAAGTTTCTTTCTACACTTTCTTGCTAAGTCCCGTTCTTCTGCTAAGTCCAGTCCTTCCTTGTTTTGATGGATCGCCTCTCTCTTTTTGTTTTTTGTTTGCTTTCCCTCCTTTCTTCTTGCTATAGTTCCTAGAATTATCAATAATCTCTATGCTGATTATTATGATTACCATAAACTGGGGTAATCAGATTACCAATAAAGAAGCTTTCAAACAAAGTATTAAGAGTACATTACATCATGTCTAGGTGCAGTGGCTCAATCCTATAATCTTAGCTACTTGGGAGGTGAAGATTGGGAAGAGTGTGGTTTTGAAACCAGCCCCAGCCCCAGCACTGACGAATGGATTAAGAAAATGTGGTATCTATACACAATGGAATTTTATGCAGCCATGAAGAAGAACGAAATGTTATCATTCGCTGGTAAATGGATGGAATTGGAGAACATCATTCTGAGTGAGGTTAGCCTGGCCCAAAAGACCAAAAATCGTATGTTCTCCCTCATATGTGGACATTAGATCAAGGGCAAACACAACAAGGGGGATTGGACTATGAGCACATGATAAAAGCGAGAGCACACAAGGGAGGGGTGAGGATAGGTAAGACACCTAAAAAACTAGCTAGCATTTGTTGCCCTTAATGCAGAGAAACTAAAGCAGATACCTTAAAGCAACTGAGGCCAATAGGAAAAGGGGACCAGGAACTAGAGAAAAGGTTAGATCAAAAAGAATTAACCTAGAAGGTAACACCCACGCACAGGAAATCAATGTGAGTCAATGCCCTGTATAGCTATCCTTATCTCAACCAGCAAAACCCCTTGTTCCTTCCTATTATTGCTTATACTCTCTCTACAACAAAATTAGAGATAAGGGCAAAATAGTTACTGCTGGGTATTGAGGGGGTGGGGGGGAGAGGGAAGGGGCTGGAGTGGGTGGTAAGGGAGGGGGTGGGGGCAGGGGGGAGAAATGAACCAAGCCTTGTATGCACATATGAATAATAAAAGAAAATAAATAAATAAATAAAAATAAAAATTATAGGCCAATTAAAAAAAAAAAAAAAAAAAAAAAACCAGCCCCAGCAAAAAGTTTGCCAAACTCCAACTCAATCAATGTCTGAGTGTGGTGGTACCTGTCATCTCAGGTATTGGGGAAGCACAACAGATTGTGGTCCAGACTGGCCCAGACAAAAAAGTAAAATTATCTAAAAAATAACTAAAGCAAAAAGGGTTGGGGGTGTGGCTCAACTGGTACAATACCTGCCTAGCATGAGGCCATGAGTTTGACCCCCAGTACCACCAAAAAAGAAAACTGTAGATCACACCTGATGGCAAAGAAATCAAAGTTTGTATTTTTACACAGGGTAGAAAAACTTTTCTTCATTAATTTTTTTTTTCAATGAGCTGAGCATGATAGATTATAATCCCAGCTACTTAGAAGGCAGAGGCAGGAGGACTGATTGAGTTTGAGGCCCGTTGGAGGAAAAATAGGGAGATCTTATCTTCAGAAAAAGTGCAGGAAAAGAGCGAGAGCAAACAGCAGGCAATGGCTGGTTTGGTATGAAAGCTCCAGAATTGACAGATGAACTGAAAAATAACCTCAAAGCACTGAAGATGAGAGCAAGCATGGACCCAAAAAGGTTTTATAAGAAAAATGATAGAGATGGCTTCCCTAAGTACTTCCAGATTGGAACCACTGTTGACAATCCAGCTGACTTCTACCATTCACGAGTTCCCAAGAAGCAAAGGAAGAGAACCATTGTGGAAGAGCTGCTGGCCGACTCTGAGTTCAGAAGATACAACCAAAGGAAGTACTCAGAGATCATGGCCCAGAAAGCAGCAAATGCCGCAGGGAAGAAGTTCCGAAAGAAGAAAAAATTCCACAATTAAGATTGGCCAAGCAGGCTGCAGTGTTGTACATTCCTCCTCGTGTGCTAAAGACATCTGGAACCCAGCACACCACACACTTAGTGTAGACCGGCTCTGTTCTTACAGGGATCTGGAAATAAAGCTTATGGAGAGAGAATCACAAGCCCCGTGGAATACAAGTGGGTGTGTCTCAGAAGACCCGTCCCAGGTTAGAACACTTAAGGGAAAAGAACCTCAGCCACTTTAAGAAAATATTTTTATGGAGTTTTCAGTGCTTGATTATTTAAAGAATATTTAATAAAACATATATAGGAAGTATAAAATCTTCCTATAGGTATTGAGAAGAAAAAAAAATACACAAGAAAAGGATTGGGGGCATGGCTCAGGTGGAATAGCACATGCCTAGTATGCTTGAGGACCAGAGTTCAATCCCTAGTACCTCCCTGTCACTGCCCAATCCCAACCCATCCCCGCCCCCAACTTTTTTTTAAGGACAGCTAAAAAGATCTAGCCTAAGATGGACATACTGACAATTTGAAATCTGAGTTTTCAAATACAAAGGCAAGAGATTTTGAAAAATATACTGAAATTTAAATGAAGTAAAGGATAGCATATTAATACAGTATCTTTTTCTGTAAGGAAAACCAAAGAATCTTAAGTACCTTGTCCAAATGAAATTTAATTTCACTTAGAATCTTATGCTAACTTTTTATCATAACATCTATAATTCTATGACAAATTTTTATATTTATAACAGTTCCCAAGACTATCAGATGATTATAATAGATTTTTTCATAAGCCTAAGTAATAACCCTTTAATATGATATTGGAATGTGAGTATTTATGTTAAGGAATACGTTTGGATACAACTCTACAATTTAAAAATAAAGAACCATGATATACACATCAAATTTTATTTGCCTTTACATGAATAGAACAAATATGTTATTCAAAATATTGTACTTTCTTGCATTTACAGAAGAAAAAGAAACTGAAGTGAAACTGTAGGAACTGCTGAACTTCAGATAAATGTTTCTTCAAAACAAGAGATACTACTTCCTAAAAGATTCCTCTAAAGTTAAAAAAAATTAAGAAAAACATTAAGCTATTAGGTTATTACATTTAAAAAAAACTACATGTTTCTTAATGGACATATGTTTATATTCACAGGAAACACTACTGATGCCTAAGCTAAGCTAAACAATAAACGCCTGCTTTTCATATTTTTTAAAAAACCTATAAAACCTAAGTCTACCTTAACTTTACTTTCCAAGAACACATAAAGAATGGCTAATCTAAAAGCAAAATGTTATACAAATAACTTCCAAGAAAGGAAATGTATTATGGGATTGTGCTAGTAACATCAGCTACAACCCAAATCATTACATGACTTCAGAGTATCAGCCGGTCCTCTCCTCCCTCCTGAATTACCTGACCAATGGAAGCTTGGCTTTGTTGTTTCAGAAAGCACTGTTTCTTACATTCCATCAATTGTTCAAAATCACGCCACATTTTTGCTTGCTTCATATTTGGGCCATGACTTTCTCGTACAGCTTTTTGTTTTTCCCGGAGTTTCTATCATAAAAAAAAAAAATCGGGAATAATAAAATCTCAGGTACAGGGATATACTTCATTGCTGAGTCAGAGAGTGTGGCATGTTTTGTACATATGATGAATAACAGCTAAGCAACCACATTTTCCTACAATATAACAAAACTAAGATTATAACAGTTAATTAAATTTAAGGTAGATATAGAGCAACCTAAAGTTAAAAAGAACAGAAAAATACAAAAGGAAGGGAGGAAAAAGTAAAAGGAATCAGGAAAGTAGAATAATACCATGCTGCTGAATGCAGATTTCAGAAGTCAGAAGACTTGAGTTTCAACCTTTGCTTTGTTACTAGTTATATGCAAGGTACTTAGTTCTCTGGTCTCAGTTTCCTCAATTGTCAATTAACGCCGACAATAGAGGACAATAAAAGTATCTCTCTTATAAAATTATTTTTTCACATGACAACAGGGAAATACTTGATAAATTATCATGTGTTATGTATGTTATTATTTTGGTAGCGTAAGGATTTAAACTCAGGGCCTTAGGCTTGCTAATCAGGTGCTCTACCACTTGAGCCACTCTGCCAGCCCTTTTTTGTGTTGGGTATTTTTGAGATGGGGTCTTCTCCCCTTACTCCTCTTGGCCTCCAACAGTGATCTTCCTGATCTCTGCCTCCTGAATAGCTAAGATTACAGGGATGGGCTACAAGTGCCTGACTATTATTATTATTAAATGCTATATTCTATCTTGAAACAGTGTATGCTCTATGTATGGTCAAAAAATTAAACTGCAGGAAGAAGACCCAATGATTTAAAAAAAAAAAAAAAATATATATATATATATATCATTCAATAGCCAAAGTCATCAAAATTGTTTGTTACTAACAGCTTAGATGATTCCACCTGCTAAAACTATTTTACTCATTTACTCTAAAATTATAAACAGAGGGAACATTTTATTTTTCAATGAATTGCAAAAATATACTTTGGTTCTATATTATAGAAAATTGAGGAAAGCTGACTGAAAAAAAGGGGCCAGCACAAAGAAACAGGAGAGACATGGTAAAGAGAGAGACAGAAAGAGAGGAAGGAAGGAAGGGTGGGAGGGAGAGGAAGAGTAGGGGAAAGAGAGAAGAAAGCAACAGAAAAGACAACAATGTACATATAAGGAAACACAGCGTGACAGTAATACCTGCACTGACACTGAGTGTGAGAAAATTACCAAGAGGGACAGAAAAACAAGAAGAAACTGAAGCAGAGTGCAAAGAACAGCCTCAGCTTCTCCTCTTTTAGTATATGGTTGATCTACTGTTGATCTAAGGACAAATGAGAGTGCTGGTGGTTGGGGCTTGCCCAAATAAGAGGATAAACTAAGCTGAGGACTACATTCAAACTATTTATTAAATACTGTCCACCCTAGTTATGAATAACAAAAGCAAAGTTAATAGTAAACAGAGAAAACACAAAAAAATTTAAAAATATAACTTCAATATAATCAGCATTTTTTTGATGCAATATGGCATGTGTGACTACATCTACTTAAATTTATGTTACAGAAAATTTATTATTTTTTTTTGGTGGCACTGGGGTTTGAACTCAGGGCCTCACGCTATGTAGGCAGGCACTCTACCACTTGAGCACTCCACTAGCCCCTAAATTCACGTTACAGATAATGTATCTTACAACAAACATCTTATGAGGATAAAGAAGACATAAGTATTTGGAAAGGCCATTAAAGCAGATCAAGAATTTTAAGAGTTCTGAGCATGATTTTAAATTAAGGTAAACTTAAACTGTAACTTTTCTTATATTATTAGAATAATTTGTCAAAAATCCTAACAAGCTATAAAAGTTCTTTAGAAAAGCAAAGGGAATGTGGGTCTTGTCTGTGTCAGAAATATTAAGTTTAATTTGCTTCATGACCATATGTGTCTGAAGCCTTTAGCTTTATGAATACAGCTGACTTTAGTATGTATTTTGAGGCTAATTGTCCTTTAATACAGATTTATTTTGTTTATCAGCTTTCACTGTTCTTTAGAGTGGGAAGTGGTACAGTAGGGAGACTGGGTCAGCCTGAAGGGTCTGTGGGTATCCATGCTGGACTGGGGCTTGAATGTCATCACTTTGCAAGGCTGGCTCTATGCTGTGTTTGCACGGGAAATTTTGATCTACTCTAGAAGTGAGAAGACTGAGCTTTGTTTTTCAAGTAACAGCTTGATAATTGGGGACAGAACTAGTTATTGGCTCATTATACTTAAAAATACCTGATGTCAGATTGCTGCTATCACTTTTCTTAAGGCCTGCAGCAAAACACTACACTGAAAGGGGAGAGGACAATTTTGTTGTTTTGTTTTGGTGCTGGGGATGGAAACCAGGACCTGCACATGCTAAGCATGTGTTCTACTACTGAGCTATACGCCCAGGCTTAAGAATAATTTTTGTTGTTGTTGTGGTACTGGGTTTGAACTCAGGGCCTACACCCTGAGCCACTCCACCATCCCTTTTTTGTGATGGTTTTTTCAAGATAGGGTCTCACAAACCATTTGCTTGGGCTGGCCTCGAACCAGGATTCTCCTGATCTCTGCCACCTGAGTAGCTAGGATTATAGGTGGGAGCCACCGGCGCCCAAACCAAGAATAATTTTAAATTGGATTTAGCAATTCAATTTGAGTCTTAAAAAGTTTCAAGGTTTGATAAATATTTTTTTCTTATTTCTTTTAATCATATGTGCATACAATGTCTGGGTCATCTTTCCCCCGCTCCCCTACTACCTCCCCCACCCCACCCTTTGATAAATATTTCTGTACATTACTAGCATCTGTCCAGATACTTTTCAAAACAAGAGAAACTCAGAAATGTCTTCATATTATTTAACATGAAATATTTGGATGGGAGTGTAGTGACAATCATACCAAATCCTAAAAACTTAGAAATCTCTAGTTAAAATACAAGAATCAGTAGAGGGGTAGGGGGGAAAGGGGGAGAAATGACCCAAACAATGTATGCACATATGAATAAAATTTAAAAAAATAATAAAGAAAAAGAAAAAAAGAATCAGCAGAGTGGCTTAAGTGGTAGAGCACCAGCCTCGCAAGTGTGAGGCCCTGAGTTTAAACCCTGGACTGCCAAACAACAACAACAAGAAGACAAATGAATGTTTACAAATTAAAAACCTACTTTCAAGGGGGTGGGGGCAGGGGGGAGAAATGAACCAAGCCTTGTATGCACATATGAATAGTAAAAGAAAAATGAAAAAAAAAAAAAACCTACTTTCAAATATGAAAATTCTTTTTTTCCTTTTGAGTATGGCATGTCATCCTACAAAGGAATCAGGGTATATAGAAATCACGAGTTCTCTGATGTATGGAGGAAAAGATTTAGGGGATTTTCTTTATTTTTTTACCTACTCTCACTAAAGCAATAGCCATTTACTCTGAAATCACAAAGATTTTTAGAGAACTGGCTGGTTCTAGGCTCAGGAAATATACAGGATGAGTCTGGAATACTTTCTCACATCAAAAAATAGAAGCCATAGAAGTCTACTAGGGTTATTTCAAAAGGATTCAGAAGCTGGGTGTGGTGGTACACACCTGTGATCCTAGCAATCAGGGGGCTGAGGAAGTACCGAGATTCAATGCCAGCCTGGGCTACATAGTGAGTTTGAGGCCTGCTTGGCAGCCTGGGCTACATGGTAGACCCTATATCAAAAAACCAAAAAGAAGTTCAGCACCAGTGGCTCACACCTGTAATCCTAGCTACTTAGGAGGCAGAGATCAGGAGCACAGTGGTTCGAAGCCAGCCCAGATAAATAGTTTACGAGACCCTATCTCAAAAAAAAAAAAAAAATTTCCAGTTGCAGACTCAAGAATACTTATAGTGAAAGTAGACACCCATCAACAGCCAGTATTTTAAAAGGAAAATTGGAGCTAACCATTCCTTAACTGTGATGCTACAATTCTGACACTCATAAGAAAATTTAGTAACCCTCGATTTTCAAAAGTGAAACAAAGTAACCTAGAGAAAATGGGACTTAAAGAGATTTATCCACTAACAGCAAGGTGTGGACTTTTATTTGAATCAGAAATTATGAGACTATAGTGAAGCATGGTTAACATTCACTATGCAAAATGGATTTAAGTGAAAATGATCTTAGAACTCATCTCAGTAATTTACTTTTAAAATTTCTTTTCTACTTATTTCAGTTTAAATATGAGGAAACAAATTCTCAAGTTGTTAAGGGTTTCAGACTACAAGTCTTAAGAATGAAGCCAAGCCATTCTAACTCATGGATAAATATAGGTCTTTTTTTCCGCCTAAGAATGATACAGGTGGTATCTTTAAAATGACTGTCAAAATGTTTTGGATCAGCCAGGTGTGATGGCTCACACCTGAAATCCTAGCTACTTGGAAGGCAGAGATCAGGAGGATTGTGGTTCCAGGTCAGCATGGGAAAACAGATCCCAATCTCAACCAATAAAAAGCTGGGCTTGGTGATGCACACCTGTCATCTCAACTAGGAGGGAAGCATAATTAGGAGGCATATTATAGTACAGGCTGGTAAGGGTATATAAATTAGACCTTAAGTCGAAAAATAACTTAAGCAAAAAGGATAGGGGTTGTGACTCAAGTAAGAGTACCTGTCTAGAGTATCTGTCTAGCAAGCATAAGGCCCTGAGTTCAAACTGAATACTGTCAAAAATAAAAGTGTTGTTTTATGACTTCATAAAACAAAGTCAATTATAATAATTAATTGATCATTTAATCCTAATAGTCAAGGCCTTTATTTACCACCTCTTCTATTAGATGTGCTCAGTGAACTGAGAAAACAAGACTCAATCACACACTCTTATTTTAGTAGCCCTCATATAACTCTGGAATTGAATATTGTAAGATGCTATAATTTGGATCTTATGTTAAAGGCTTGGTCCCCAGGGTGGCACTATTGGGAGGTGCTGGAACCTTTAGGAGGTGGGACCTAGAGGGTCGTCCTTAGGTCATTGGGATGTGTCCCTGAAGGGGATTGTAGAACCCATTTCACTTCTTTTTCCTTTTCCTCTAGTTCTTCCTGGCCATGAAGCTCAGCCCACTTTGCTTGCCATGTGACTCTTGCCATTGCTATCCAGCACATCTATAAGAGGCCTAAAAGCAAATGGGTCTTGCCTATCATGGACTGGATTGTAAAATCTTAGTTTATTATTTCAGATATTTTGTTATAGCAGTAGAAAGCTAACTAAACACAGAAGGTTTTTTAAAATGGATCAATGTTTACAAAGGGGTTAGACATGTGCTATAATAAAAGCTTTGTATTTATTAAATAAATGAATGAATTTATGCATATTCCATAAACAGAGATACATGAAAATAATATGAAAGCTGTGGTGTGAAACCTTATTACAAATTTTTTAAATTCAAAAGTAGATGATTTTTTTTTTCTTTCAAAAATCCATTGTAGGAGCCAGGCACTGGTGGTTCATGCCTGTAATCCTAGCTACTCAGGAGAAGGCATCAGGAGGCTTGTGGTTCAAAGCCAGCCCAGGCAAATAGTTCACAAGACCCTATAAAAAACCCTTCATAAAAATAGGGGTCGTGGAGTGGCCCTGAGTTCAAGCCTCAGTACAGAAACAAAACAAAACAAAACAAAAAAAAAACAAATCCATTGTAGGGCTAGGAATGTAGCTCAATGGTAGAGTCCCTGCCTAGCATGTTCAAGGCCTTGAGTTGGATACCCATCACCTCAAAAACAAAAACAAACAAACAAAAGTGAAGGCATAATGAATTTGCTGGTTGGTTGGTTGGTTTTTGCAATGCTGGGGATCCAACCCAGGGCATCAAGCATGCTAGGAAAGTGTTCTACCACTGAGCTATACTTCCAGTCCCTAAATTCCTAAGGAAAGGTCTTTATTTTGAAAAGAATGAACAATTTACCCCCAAAACTATAACATTCAATTTCATAACCATAAACTAAAAGCCTTAAATAATTCTTACCTTTCCAAGGTTTTCTTGTTCAGCAATATTTTTGGTATACTGTTCCCTAAGGAATCAACAAAATGATTTAGCTTCAATTTACTTCAATTGATTTAATCATACAAATAAATTATAAATAACATATCTATCTAAATATATTAGGCAATATAGTTTAGGGCACTGGAGTCGGAATGAAACCTTTTATCAAATACTTTGTCAGTTTTTCTAGTAAATAGTAATTTGAGGTGGAAAGTAAGTCACACATTGCAGAGGAAATTAAGATAAATAACATGTTAAGTACTATTTCTGGTTAATTTACCCTTAAAACAATGGCAAAGCATTTGCTTAAATTACACTTTGCATTTGAAGAAGTTTGCAGAAAGGAAAAAAAATGCACATTTTAAATAAACACTAAATAGTATCTAATTCTATAATTTCTACTTCTGGGAAGTTATCCTACAGAAAACTTCATGATTTAGTGAGCATAAAAGGAAAGTATTTACTTCATTAAGGCTTAGAATAGTGAAAATTTGCAAACTAAATGGATATAATGGGGAAATGTTTAAGTAAATTATGGTACATCCATTCAAAGGAATAATATAGAATTGTAAAAAATAAAAAAGAATGAGGTAAATCTGTAAGTACTGAAGTTGAAAAATTCTAGATAAATTATTCAGAGAAAAACTGTACATAATCTTATTTTTATATATACACAGAAGTGTTAGCACATGAATGGGAAAGAATATGACATAATGTACACACAGTATTAGCAGCAGACTTTGCTTAAAGTAGAAGGCATGGCAATGTGGACAGCATTTTTTCTTCTTTTCTTTTTTGGTGGTAATGAGGTTTGAACTCAAGGCTTCACACTTGCGAGGCAGGTGCTCTACCTCTTGAGCTATGTCTCTAGCCCTTGTATTTTTGATTTTCAGAGATAGTCTCAGGCTGGCAGGGTGGCTCAAGAGATAGACACTCATTATGTTGCTCAGGCTGGCAAGAAGTCATTCTATTTCCCAGGCTGGTTTTGAACCCAATGATCCTCCCGCCTCAGCCTCCCAAGTGCTGGGATTACAAGCATATATGTGACCATGCCTAACTTGACAGCATTCAATTTCTGTGCACACTACAGAAATTGATGGTACTGGGGTTTGAATTCAGGGTCTGATGCTTGCTAGGTAGATGTTCTAGACTTAAGCCACACCCCCAGCACTAATTTTTGCTTCTAATAAATATTTCTTTTAAAGGCTAAAAAAAAAAAAAACCCTTAAGTTTTAATGTAAAAATATAAATAATAAACTTTATTTTAAAATAACAGTATAATTATATTTTAATACTGCACAAGAAAGAAGTTAGATTTAAAGTGGGTGATGTGGTAAGGACAAAAATTGAAGGATGAGCCTTAAGAACAAATGAGAAAGATGTAAGAGAGACTCGAGCTTATGTGTGAATGTAAGCAGATTGTTTTTGTTTTTCTATGTAACCTACATTACGGTATTTAAGAAGAGAAAATACAGCAGCCTAAGTGGAGTAAGGCTATGCATTTGGACAAAGGGAGTAGAAGTGATTAGGGAAGAGAGAAAGGCACTCAAAAGCATGCAGGTCCTTAGAGAGCTGAAGTGAAGGCAGAATCTGCACACAGGAGTGAGGGTGGAGGAAAATAAAACACCATCTTGATGAGCCTTCACTTTCCCTCAAAATTTATGAGATAGTAAGTCAAGCTGCTTGCCTTTCCAGTTCTCCAAAGTAAAAGAGCTATAGGAGGATGTTAAGTGCCATATTGCTCAAGAAGAATATATGGTTAGAGATCAGAGGGCTTCAAATAATTCATCTATTCCCTCAGGCCTGAGAACTGTCCAAAATATTTCAGCATTTCCATTTATATAAAAATTTCTCAAGAAACTAACAGGTTTAGTATGTTATATGTACTAAAACCTAATTTTTATTTATTCAATGAATTTATTTAAGAAATAATTATGGGTTGGAGATGTATGCCCTGGGTTTGAGTTACAGCATCACAGACACACACACACAAAATAACATAGTACTTGCTATGTGTAGAGTATGCCCTGGGTTTCAAGTAGGAAACAGGACAGGGAGGCCTTTTTTCTCCAGGAACTCATGCTATATAACTGATGAATCACCACTACATAGATTATATTAACTTGATTCTGTATACACTGTTCTCTGTATTTTACAGATGAGTAAATGACTTGACCAAGATCACACAACTGGGAACTGGAAAACCAAGTTAAAACAGTTTTATGAGCTGGGCACCAGGAGCTCATGCCTGTAATCCTAGCTACCTGGGAGGCTAAGATCAGGAGGATCACAGTTTGAAGCCAGCCAGAGCAAATAGTTTGCGAGACCCTATCTTGAAAAACCCTTCACAAAAATAGGCTGGTGGAGTGGCTCAAGGTGATGTCCCTGAGTTCAAGCCCCAATACCGCAAAACAAAACAAAACAACAACAACAAAAAAACCCCACAGTTTTATGAGTCCATTGAACTAAAACATGTTACCTCTTTAAATAAAATTAAAATTTGCAGACAATCTTTTAAAACATTTGAAAACTTTTCAAAACCTTTCTTGTATCTCTGGTGTTACCAGAAAGAACTGTTAAAAATGGAATGGCAATAAAAACATCATATCCATAACAGTACTTTAAACATGTATCAGTTAGTATAAAATGTAATCTACATCATTTTATTCATAATATTCTTTCTGCTTTGATTTTGGTGGAACTAGGGTTTGAATTCAGGGCCTCACACTTCCTAGGCAGGTTCTTTTACCACCTATGCTACTCCACCAGCCCTATTCATAATATTCTTTTTTTTTTTTTTTTTGTGGCAGTACTGGGGCTTGAACTCAGGGCCTCATACTTGCTAGGCAGGTGTTCTACCACTTGACCCACTCTGCCAGCCCTTCATAATATTCTTATATTATGTAAGTGCTATAGTTATGGCACAACACTTTTCTACAGAAAACTAAGGGAAGGTGAAGGTTTATAGTGATTATTTTATTTATCTATCTATCTATCTATTTATTTATTTATTTATGGCAGCACTGGGGCTTGAGTTCACAGCCTCATGCTTGCTAGGAAGGCACTCTACCACTTGACCAACTCTGCTAGCCCTGATTTGTGTTGAGTATTTTTGAGATAGGGTCTTGAGAACTATTTGCCAGGGCTGGCTTGAACCATGATTCTCCTGATCTCTGCCTCCTGTGTAGCTAGGATTATAGGAACGAGCCACTGGTACCTGGCTATAGTGATTTTTTTAAATGATGAAGAACATCTTGTTAGAAAAATAATCAGGAAATCAATAGTTCAGAGGCAACTATTTTCTTTTTTGCTATTTATATTGATTACTTTGGAAGAAACTGAACTTAATTTCTAAAAGTTTTTTATTTTTCAAGATATAAAATCTAGTATTCTCATTTCTTAGTACTGACTAGATTTATAAAAGCAAAGTTTACATTCAATGAAAGAATCTGAATAAACACATTTTTAGCTTTATATGTGAGAGTATATATTAGAAAGATATCATCCTGTATTCTGTGTAGGATAAGTCTGCCTTACATTTCAATACATTATATTAACAAATTTAGACTCTGCAAAACACGCTAAGATTCCTTTTTATAATATTAATGCATATGTACCATTCAAAATCTCAACTGTAATCTCAAATAAATGTGAATGCTATACTTTGAGTTCTTACCGTATGGTAAATTAAAGCATCTGAATTGTGATGATGGTCGAAAAAAGCTTATCTTACTCAAGTATTGCATTTTATTATAGCTAGAAATTCAACTATAAATGTATTTTTTAAGACAATTTGATTTATTATAGAGTGTCAGAAGCTAGGATCACAAAAAAAAATCACCATATAAGAACTAAGCAGTATTTACACGCCCTTCTCATTTTGAAGACTGGCACACTACAATTACAGTTTCTAGGTAAAATGCAGTCAACACTGCACAATTTGCAGGCAGATGATGGGAGTCCATGCTATTGGGGCTTTAAAAAGAGACCAATGTTAATGCTTTATAAAAGAGCTTTATACATATTCCTGGATGAGGGGAGAGGTTAAGGAGTTACTGCTTAATGGTTACAAGAGTTTCTGTTTGGGGTGATGAAAAAGTTTGGAAATATATAGTTGTATAGGATTGTGAATTGAATGAAATCAATGCTTAAAAATGGTTAAAGTAGCAACTTCTGTTATATATATTTTATCACATGAAAAAAGTAAAGCAAGCAAGAAATAAAATTGTATGTATTCCCACTTAGCAGGGCTAGAATATCCAGAAGATTTAAGGTTTAATACTAAATAATATCTCACTATGTATTTATTTAAATATTCTAAATTTATAGGCTTCTATCTTATTTATAAAACGTTTATAGATAAAAACATTAATTCAATACAAAAACAAAAATTCACTTGCCTAATTGCCTTCCTCTTTTCTTGTTGATCAGAAGATACATATGCCTTCATCTCATCGGTAGCACGACGAAGTTGAACTTCTAGGTTCTAAATGGAAAGACAAGTTTCAGGGAAGTTTTTGTTTGTGTGTGTGTGGTATTGGAATGTGAACTCAGGGCCTACACCTTGAGCCACTCCACCAGCCCTTTATTTTTATAATGGGTATTTTTAAGATAGGGTCTCAGGAACAATTTGTCTGGGCTGGCTTCAAACTGTGATTCTCCTGATCTCTGCGTCCTGAGAAGCTAGGATTATAGGCATGAGCCACCAGCACCCAGCTTTAGGGAATTTTTTGATACAGAAAAATCTCAGAAAAGCTTCTGAACCATATTCTTTATCTTACCTTAATCATACAATTTGTATAACGATATTTACTTTCTTCTTGAAGACATTCTTCACGGAGTCCTCTAACTTCCTACAATATGCAATTTTAAATGGACAATGTTATTGAAATAATAAGAGATGCAGAGAGCATGACTTTATATGTACAACAAAAGAACTGAGTCACTTACTCTCCTGCAATTTTAAGCTTGTGTAATTACTCTAACAGAACAAGTTTCAATCTTTTCTAGGCTCTTTGTATCACTCCAGATTGAGATCATTTACAAGGTTTGTTGTGTGTCCAGCACTGTCCTAAGTGCAGACAGGTCCTTGTTCTCATTCAAGCAGAGGAGACAAGCATAAATAAGGAAACACATAGTGGAAAATATTTCAGATGGACATAGTGAACTCTGAGAAACTCAGCAGGAGAATGAGATAGACAGGGTGGACCAAGATGGGGTGGAAAGAGTGGGAAACATAGGGTGATCAGAGAAGACCTCCAGGAGGAGGTATAGGATGAAAAGGAGAGAACAAGGCAAAGAGCTAGAGACAGGATTTCCCAGGCAGAGGGAAGAGCATGTGCAAAAGCCTGGAGGTGGAAATGAGCTCAGCCTGTTTGGAGTTCAGGAAGAAGGCCAGTGTGGCAGGAGCTCCATGGATGGGCAGCACAACACAGGGATATGAAGTTAATGAGGCAGGTGGGGCCTTATAAATCACAGTTTAGAGGTTATGTTTTATTTTAAATCAATGGGAAGCCAATGGAACTTAATCCAAATTTTTGGCTACTCTATGAAGAATAAATCTTAAGAAGACAAGAGTGGAAGCAGGTGGAAAGCAGGTAGAAGGTTACTATGGCAGTCTAGGCAAGAGATGATGGAACTTAGATTTTGACAGCAGTAGTACAGATGGAACAAGTCAGTGTGTACAAATAAAGTTTAAACAACTAACGACCACTGGAGCTTAGGAGATAGGCAGATAATGATGATAAAGATTTGGGAATCTTTTGAAATTAATGTGAAAATATGTACACACAGGTAGTTTTTGCTAAGTTGTAATAAAAACTCTCTTCTTACCTGTTCTAATTTGGACCGATTGCTTTCAAGGCCCGCTGCACAGCTATCATACTGGGATTTCTTTTCATCACACTCCTGGGTTAGTTCCTAGTATGAAAAGGGCAAATTATTGAATAAGTGAAAAACAAAGTCCTAAAATCTGGCTCTGAAACAATGTGTGCCCTTGTCAGATGTGTAACTTAACTCTAAGCTTCTTGGCATACTTAAAAGTTATTTATACAACAATCAGACATTTGAGAATTATGACAGATGGAGGTGCTGATAAGAATAATAGCTACCATGTATTGAGCTGTGTGCCAGGCTCTTTATTAGGAGCTGGGGATACAACAGTGAACAAAACAGCCAAAAATTCTTCCTCTCAAGTTCAGACGAGTACACAGACTGCCTAGAGCTATGACAGGCAAATACAAGGACTCTCACAGACCTAATCCAGGCTTGGGGATCAATGGGAACAACTTCCTTCAGAAACTGATATCTAAGCTGAGCATGAAAGATTAGTCAGAATAGTTAGGGGGAAGGTGAAAAGGAGGAAAGGGGTGTGTGTGTGTGTGTGTGTGTGTGTGTGTGTGTGTGTGCGCGCTCTTTAAAGAAACATTATAAAGGATTGGAAGCAAGAAAGAACAAGAACAATTAAGGAACATACAAGTAGTTTATTTTACTGGAGTGGGTCTGGGAAGTGGTGAGAAAGGAAGATGAAGACTTAGGCGTGGGCCTGATCAGGAGAACTTTGTGAACCATGTTAGGGCATTTGAACTGGGCCTTGACAACAACTAAATCTCACAACAATGCCTTGAAGGAGGTACTACTGCCCCCATACAATGCTTGGAGAACATTCCGGAAACCCACATAACTTGCCAAAGATTATACTGCAGAAAAGGGGTGGAGTCAGATTTTGAGTTCTGGCTGTTTTAGTTTCAAAGTTTAGTCTAATGTGATAGTTTGAATGAGGTAATCTGAAAATTTCCTACAAATACCTAGAAATGCTAAAAACAAAAAGCATCTGCAAATATTTGATAAGGTAAAGCAAACATGCATTTAAATGCAGAGCTGAACTGAGTTCTCAAGGAAGTGAGAGGTATCACCAGGGCCAGAATAAAAGGGAAGACATAGTGGCTCCCTTGGGGAAAAGACTGGGGGAAGTCAGTTTTGGTAACAGTGATTTTAAGGTCTAAGCAAGGCAGAAGAAAAGCCTTAGGCCCTTGCAGAGAGGGAATTAGAACTGAGGATCCCATGGTAAATCCAAGTTGGGAATTTATGAGTAAAGGGTTAACACTAGCTTGAGAATGACCTTGGTTTCACACAGCACAGTTTCCTTGGAAACAGAAGTGTTACCATAGATGAATAAGGTGTGTGCTGCCTTTATTGTGTGGGACTGTGTATGGAGTGGGGTGATGAGAGCAGTATAAAAGACTGGGGGGGACTGTGGCTTTATGTATCAAAATAACTTACAGGTATCTATGGCTTTTAAGGGTGACAATCATACTCACCCTAAGTGGGAGATGGGGCAGCAGATGCTGTATACTAGGAAGCTGCTGGGCCTCTCAATGAATAAAGACTCTATAGTCGATGAGAGCCTTTTTGGCCTGTGAGTCTGATGGCCAAATTGATCACGTGCGGCTTTGCTGCCACAGAGGCAAATGAAAGTGGCCCGAACCCAGGCAGTCTTGGGGTTTAAATTTCCCCACTACATGGTTTAGGAAATCCCAAGTGGAGACATTAGCTCAAAATTAGCTCCCAGCTTGTAGTATTTCTAAAATACCTGGCAGAATAACCCATAGTTGTCAAGATTCAAGAGACAATACCCATTACAGGCTCATGCCTATAATCCTACCTACTCAGGAGACAGAGATCAGGAGGACTGTGGTTTGAAGCCAGCCCAGGCAAAATAGTTCCATGAGACCCTATCTTGAAAACACCCTTCACAAAAAAGAGCTGGTGGAGTGGCTCAAGGTTAGGTCCTGAGTTCAAGCCCCAGTACCACAAAAAAAAAAAAAAAAAAAAGAGAGAGAGAAACAATACCGCCTGGGCATGGTGGGCCGTGTCTGCAATCCCAGTACTTGGAAACTAAGGCAGGAGAATCACTAAGGAGTTTGAGGCCAGCCTGGGCTACGTAGCTGGTTTCAGGCCAATATGAGGTATATGGTGCCACCCTGTCTCAAACAAACTGAGGAGGGGAGGGGAGGGGAGAGGGAAGTGGGGGGGAGAGAGAGAAAAGGCTGCTAAAAGTAAGCTCACAACCTGAAAGTAAGGAGGGGAGAGGGGAAGGAGAAAGGAGGGGAGCGGAGGAGGGGAGGAGAGGGGAGAAGAAGAGAGGACAGGAGGGGAGAGAGAATACCAGCTAAAAAAGTAAGCTTACAACTTGAAAGTGAGGAGAGGGAAGGGGGGGAGGGTAGAGGGGAGGGGAAGAGAGAAGAGGGAAAATAAGGGGAGAGGAGTGGGGAAGGGGAGGAGAAACAAAACCTGCTAAAAATAAGTTCACAACCTGAAAGTAAAAAGCATGTAAGTAAGGAAACAATCACTGGAGTGAGAATCAGAGAATGAGAAGGTATAAACAACAGCAGGATTATACCTCAAAGGAATTTGAATACTAGGAATAAGCCCATTAAATAAGTATGTTTAAAGTAATAAAACTATGAAGGAGGAACTGAAGAGATTATAAAAAGACATAATGAGAAAAAATAAGAGGGAAAAGGTAGTCATTTAAGTTAAAAATTAAGTGCATAGAATAAACATAAGATTAAACAGTGCTGAGGAGATAAAAGAATGAACTAGAAACAGGAAGGTATGTTAAAATTTTAAGAGTAAATCACATTAGAATCAAGTAGAAGACAGAAAAGGACATTAAAAAAAATCAGGCTTGTAGGTAGAAGAGAAGAAATTAAACAAAAAAGCACAGGATATACAAAATAGAAAAAAATAAAAATTTATCAATAATCAGAATAACTGTAAGTGGGACTAAATTCATCAAGAAAGATTTTTCGCTGGACACCGGTGGCTCACGTCTGTAATCCTAGCTACTCAGGAGGCAAAAATTAGGATGAATGTGGTTTGAAGCCAGCCCAGGAAATGGTTTCTCGAGACCCTATCTCAAAAAACCCTTCACAAAAATAGGGCTGTTGGAGTGGCTCAAAGTGAAGGCCCTCAGTTCAAGTTCCACTACCGAGAAAAAAAAAAAAAGACAGTTGAAATGGGATGTAAAAAAATCACACATACACAAAATTCAACTATATCCTATTTATGAAACATGTATATGACAAAAATAAGGACACAGAAAGCTGAAAGTAAAGAAATAAAAATAAATGTACTCAGCAATACTTCCCAAAGAAAGCTAGCCTTCCTGCTTTAACAGTAGGCAAAATAAGCCTCCTAGGCAAAACGCATTATCAAGAGAAAAAACAAAGATAAAGCTAGGCATGATGGCTCATACCTATAATCCCAGCTACTCCAGAGCTAGATATTGGGAGGACTCCAGTTCGAGGGCAGCCAAGGCAAAGAGAAAAAAAAAATTTGTGAGATCCCATCCCACCAAGTGTGGTGGTGAATGCCAGTGACCCCAGCTAAATGGAGGTGTAGGTCTAAGACCAGCTCCAGGCAAAAACATAAGACTCTATCCAAAAAATAACTGAAAGCAAAAAAAGGACTTGGAGCACAGTTTTAGTGGTAGAATAGCTGCTTAGCAAGTACGAGGGCCTGAGTTCAAATCCCAGTACTGCCAAACAAACAAAACATAATTTACCAGAAAGTATTTTTTTTGTGTGTGTTAGTGGGGCTTGAACTATACGAACTATACCTTCAGTCACTCCACCAGCCCTTTTTGTGATGGGTTTTTTTCAAGATAGGGTCTCACAAACTATTTGCCTAGGCTGGCTTTCAACCTTGATCCTCCTGATCTCTGCCTCTTCAGCAGCTGTGTGAGCCACCGGTGTGAGCCACCGGTGCACAGCCAGAAAGCTTTATTTTTTAAAACCAGGAAGATTTTTTTGGTGTGGCAAAATATGCGTAACATGAAGTTACCATCTTCACCTTTTTTTGGTGTGTATAGGGGTTTGAGACAAAGTCTCACTATGTAGCCCAAGCTAGCCTTGAACTCATAATCCACCTGCCTCAATCTCCCAAATGCTGGGATTACAGGTATGAACCACCACATGTAGCTTCCATGTTCACCTTTTCTTTTTCTTTTGGCAGTACTAAGGTTTGAACTCTGGGCCTTGCACTGGCTAGGCAGGTGCTCTATCTTGAGTCATGTCCCCAGCCTTCCCTCTTCACCATTTTTAACTGCATAATTTAGTGGCATTAACTACATTCACAATGTTGTGCAACCATCACCACGATCCTTCCAACTCTTTTTCACCTGAAACTTCACTAAGTCTTTTTATCCATTTTACAACAACTCCCCATTCACTTGGAAGGTGTTTCGTTTTGTTTTTGTTTTTGTGGTACTGGGGTTTGAACTCGGTCTCACACTTTGCTGGGCAGGTGGTCTACCACTTGAGCCACACAACCAGCCCTCATCAGGAATTTTTGAACAATATATCTAAGAAGCTTGATCTGATGAACACATGGAGAACTCTGGGAAACACACGTTCTTCTAATGATCAAGTCACTACAAAAATTAGGAAGGTCTCAGATCTCTTTAAAGTCTTTTTTTTTTTTTTTTTTTTTTTTTTTGGTGAGACTAGGGCTTGAACTCACTTCCTCATGCTTGCTAAGCAGACATTCTACCAATTGAGCCACTCGGTCAGCCCTTTTTTGTGTTGGATATTTTTCAGATAGCATCTCAAGAACTATTTGCTGGGAGCTATCTTCAAACCACAATCCTGTTGATCTCTGCCTCCCGAGTAGCAAAGATTACAGACATGAGCCACCAGTGCTGAGTGAGAAGTTGATTTTTAATAGGCTTTAAAATCAAAAGCCAAGCATAAAATGACATCACTAAGACTAAATATGTCTGTGTATAAGTAAATGTATAGGTATTTCATGTATATGTATGAAGGTAGCATAATGAGATACACCAAAGGGGAGAGAAGGGAGGGGAGTTTAGGGAATATAATGGGGGTGAACTTGTTCAGAGTACACTATGTGCATCTATGAAATTTTTGCAGTGCAGTCCCTTGTGGTATTAATGACCACTTTATTTAATTTAAAAATGAAAAAATTTTAAATAAATACAAATGAACTAAATTTAGCTATTAAAATAAACCTCTCAAGATTGTTTCATTTCAGGGTATATTTCGAAAAGTGAAATCTAATTCAAGATCTAAGACAGACATTTAAAACAAAATTAATTTTTTAAAAGTATAAAGTATAACATGAACAAAAAGTATAGAAGGCAAATGCAAACAAATATGATAATATTAGGGTGGATTTTCTGTCCCCCACCAAAAAAATTGTTTTCTAAAACAAACTTTTTGTGTGCCAGGGATAGAACTCAGGGCCTTAATCATGCGACATACTACTGAGCTACACTCCTCAACGCTTAAAATTGTGTTTAGAAAGTACAGCAAAGGTATGGAGTTAAATTTGGGGCAGTTATAAATAAGTATCCATCCCTTTATTCCCACAACATTTCTGAAAAGATGTAAGAACCTGTTAACAGTCATTACTTCCGGGGAGTGTGCTCAGGTGCACAAGGACACAGATAGAATTTCTATTCTTTTTTAAAAACCATTCTATACAGTTTGAATTATTTGCCAACAATATGGTTTTTCTTTTATCAGAAAAAGCAATCAATAAGAAACATTTCTGTGAAACTTATAAAATTGTATACAGTATGAGCATTTTATATTTTCTCATATATTAGCAATTGTATGTAGCTATTCCATTTAATTTATACAACTGCTCCTAAGAAGATAAATACAAAAATTTCAAGAAGACATTCTAGTTATAGATTATAAAAGATTTAGATAAATATAAGTGATAAACTTCGAGTTTATGATGTTTTTAATTTTAAACAATTGCTAATATTCAATTTAGAGTACATTGCAAGCACAATAGGGAGTTTGCTATGAAATTTCCTAAATACTTAAGGGTTGCCCATTAAAGTAAGAAATGTAAAGTATTTTTAAACATTCCTGCTATTAAAAAATATGACAACTGAGCACAGTGGCATTACTCAGGAGGCTGAAGCATCTGGATCACTTGAGTCCAGGAATTCAAGGCCAGCCTGGTCAACATAGTTAGACCCTGTTTCAAAACAGTAACACCAATATTCAACTAGAAACAATTTTTAGGGGCTTGAGCTTGCCTAGGATGCATGAAGCCCTAGGTTCAATCCCCAACATCACAGAAGAAAAAAAAAGTTTTTAAAAGATGGGGAGTATAGCTTAGTGGTAGAATGCTTTTCTAACATGCCAAAGGCCCTGGTTTCCATCCACAGCACTGTGGAAAAAAAAAAATAAAACAGGGACAATAGGACAGTTAGTAGTGAAAACTTCAATACAAAGTGTGCAAAGGAAGGCTACAATGTGAGATATGGACAAAAAGAAGCCATATAGTAGCTGAGATTATAAGAATGCCAGACCAAAGATTAAGGAGAAGCCATAAGACAGAAAAGGAAAGGAGATGGAAAGTCTGGCTGGTGGCAGAAACAGTGAAAAGACAAAGAGATTCACAAAGAATCATGTTTTTGGTGTAGTGTTAGTACAACGAATTTGGCTCTGCCATTTGCCAGCTATGTGACCTTGGACAAGTCTTTAACCTCTCTGTGCCTTTATCTGTTCATTTGCATAAAGTGAAGTCCTCAAACCAGGCATGGTTGGTAATACCAGCACTCAGGAAGCAGAGGCAAGAAAATCAAGAGTTCAAGGCCAGCCTGAGCTACTTAGAGACTCTTTCTCAAAAACAAACAAAAAAAGAAGAAGAGGAGGAAAAAAAAAGGAAAATGAAGGAGAAGATGAAAGGGGGAGTATCTACTTTATTGGGTTGTTGTAAGGCCTAAATGAGCAACGTCAGAACGTATGGCTCATAGCTAGCACTTGTTACAGTGCTTGTTCCAGAAATGCCATGGCTCTGATCCTTAAATTTCTATAACAACACATTTCCTTACGGTTTTAAGTACCCTTTCAAAAAACTTCTCATTCAAAATGTGAATGGACTTAATAAAAAAAATACTATTTACAAACAGATTTATTAGATTGCTAACAGGGAGCTTTTTAAAACCATCACTGGAAACACATACAACTAGTCCTTTCGTCTTCAAATTACTTACTCAAGAAGGGGACTAAAAAAAGCAACATCTGGGGGTGTAGCTCAAGTGACAGAGCACCTGCTTAGCAAGTGAAGGATCTCACACTTATAATCCTAGCTGCTTGGGAGGCTGAGATTGGGAGGATTGTGGTTTGAGGTCAGCTGGGGCAAATAGTCTGAGAGATCCCATCTCCAAAATAACCACCATAAAATGGACTGGACGTATGGCTCAAGTTGCACAGTGCCTGCTTTACAAGCACAAAGCTCTGAAAACCTCAGTCCCACCAAAAAAAAAAAAATAAAAAATAAAAAAATCAATGGAGTAGAACACATCCATGAAAACTACTGACATCCCCAATGTGAAAATAAGGTTAAAAATTTCTTTCTGAAATTTGTTTTCCCTGACAATCACTTCATCTGTTTCCTCTTTCCTTATCAGTTAGGTATATGATTCTGATTATGCTTTTCCTATATTTGTTTTCAAGATGAGGTATCTTTTGTTTCAATTGAATTTCTTTTTCTTTCTTTTTTTTTTTGGTAGTACTGGAGTTTGAAACTCAAGACCTCACGCTTGCTGGGCTGGTGTTCTACCACTTGAGCCACTTTGTGATGGTTTATTTTTGAGAAAGGGTCTCATGAACTATTTGCCTGGGCTGCCTTCAAACCATGATCCTCCTGATCTCTGCCTCCTGAGTAGCTAGAATTATAGGCGTGAGCCACTGGTGCCCAGATCGCTTGAACTTCTTTACATGCTTGTCTTATCTCACTTATTAGACCATGAACTCTGAGAACAGGGACTTATCTTCCATTTCCTTTGTGATAGCAGTGGTCTGTAATGGGACAAGCAGATTGAAATAAGGAGATACACATTCTAGTCAGACCTCAACTCTCTACTTCCCACTTGTCTATTTGGATAAGCTACTACACCTATCTTAGACTTCATGGCATTTTCTATAAAAAAGGAAACGATGACTAAATGATTTCAACGTTTATGTGATTTTCCATTCTGACTCTAACAGATGGCATTCATGAAGGATTTTCTGGTTCCATCCTCAGGCACATGGAACACAGCTTACATTCACTCAGGATTACTACGTAGAGAATGATGAAATAACAACTGCTAATGTCGAACGGCGGAGGCTACCTGATCTAGTGTTGTGAAGGGCATTTGCCTTCCAACAGTTTATCTCTAAAGCAGTGGTGAGAATTAGCTTCAAGAAATGGTACTTTGTTACTTATCATAAGATATCATAGTCTGCCTCCACTGTGCCTCCAGCAAAGTAAATTCATTAATCTAAAGTTAACTTGTCACCACTTGTTGGCAGAAGCTGAGCTCTTACCTGGCCACAGAAGATTTTCAGCTCTCACATGCCTATGTGGATTTCAGTTTAAATTCTTTCTCCTCCCTTCCTCCCACTAATTTATGACAAAATTAGTAGCACAAATTAAACAAAAATCACTGATAGATCACATTACTACTTTCTTTCATAGAATCATATCAGTATAATAATAACAATTTGTTTTCTATAATTATTCCAGTAAGAGATTCCTTAGCCGAACTAGTACATTTGAATAAGATAGAACACTAAAAATATCACAAAATCAAATTTACTTACTTGGCATTTCTGACGCAATTGTCGTAGATCTTTTATAACAGGAGCTAGAGCTGACTTCTTTTCTGATACCAGGGAATTCAATTTTTTTACCTGCCATTTAAACAAAAAACATGACATCTAAAAAAGTTCAAAAGAAGAAAATACTACATGCATAGAATCAAAAAAATCCAAACAAACTACAAATTACTTTTACTTTATTGCCTAACAAGAAGGGATTTTGCAAATTTTGATTCCTTAGCAAGATGGAATACCATTTAGCCATTCAAAATCAAACCACTGTGCACAGGTGGCTCACTCCTGTAATCACAGCTACTTGGAAGACTGAGACTGGGAGGACTATGGTTTCAGGCCAGGCCAGGGAAAAAAACTGCACAAGAGTCCATCTCCTCAGAAAAAAACTGGGTATGGTGGCATGCCCCGCTACAGCAGGAAGTGTAAAATACGAAGATCACAGTCCAAGCTGGTCTGTGCAAAAAGGGAGACCCTACTACCTTCAAAATAATCAGAACAGAAAGGGCTGGAGACATGGCCCAGTAGCAGAGCTCCCACCTAGCAAGCATAAAGCCCAGAGTTCAAACCCCAGTATCACGAAAAAAAAAAAGACTGTAAACTGCAATGGGATAATATTTAAACCTAACGTTGAATGAATAAAATAACTACAAAGTTATCTGTTTTATATTATATAAAAATATATGTAGGTTATATAAGATATACATAAATGAGGATGGAGTGATATTCAAAATACTTAATAACCTGAATGGAGTAAGTAAAGCTTAATCAGAACACCTACTAATCATAGGATGACCAGGGTCCTGGATACTCTTCTGTACAAAATGCTAATCTTTTTAGGAGTTAGATTTTAGTAAAATCCAGAAGGTTCTAGGGGAATGTCCAGTGTGGACACAGGCATTCTAAGAGTCTGGAGGCAGCTATTTACCAACAAGGAAGGAAAGATTTCAAAATTCTGATCCTGATGAAAATGTAACAGGGTACTCTGGCTGAATAGCAGCCCTGCTTATGGGAAGATACTAAGCATGTCCCCCAAAATAAAATAATTTCATTAGGTAGGGTGGTATCATTTGGGAAAACTTATTTTTTATTTTTTTTTTAGTGGTCTGGGGTTTGAACTCAGGCCCTGATGCTTGCTAGGCAGGTGTTCTACCACGTGAGCCACTCCACCAGTCTGTAAAAATTTATTTTTATCATAAATATTTCTTTAATGTTACATAACCTTTATACATCTAAAAACCCCACAAATACATAAACTATTAGAAGTTTATGTATTATAAACATTATTAGAATGAAAAAAATTCAAAAGATATTGATCAAAACACATGAAAGAATATAAAGTAAACATCATGTAGAGATGAAAATTTGAATGCTTCACTGAAAGAAATGCCAAACACCTGCCTTCTTTCAATAAAAGACAACAAAAGAAAGTATAGTCACCATTTCGGACATATCGTCCAATGTTCGTCCTTTCATTTCATCAACTTCACTCTTCAGTGCCGAGACTCTTTCTAGCTCTTCTTGGGTGTAACTATACCCAGATATACCCTTTTTCTCCTCAATAGTTTGCTATAAGTAAAAAATGAAAAGACCACAAAATGGGTGTTAACATCTTGCTGGCTCCCATAAAAAATATGCCGACTTCATACTTCTGTTGAAAAAGTTGTAAATAAAATAAATTTGTTTAAAATTTGAAAGGACAATCTTCGTTGACTTCAATTATAATTTCATTCAATGACGTGCCTTTACATGTTATAAATGTACATTAAATTTGACTATGTTATTTTCAGGTGCATAGGGAGCATTTCTAATTTTAGGCTTCAGAATTTTTAAAAAATCTCTTATCTCAGAGCTTACTTACAGTAGGAGTAATAGCAATAAGTAAATAAAAAAGTAATATGCATATAGTATGAGGCGAGATGGGGCTGGAATCTTGAATTCTGAGATAGTTAGAAAAGGTCTTCCTGAAATGACATCTGAGCAAAGCTCCGAAGGAGATGAAGAAGACAACATATGCAGTAGGTAAGAATGTTAATTTGGGAGAAAAACTAGGAGAGTGCAGTATCCTAGAAGACAAGTGAAGAAAAAATTTTACAGGAAAAGGGAGTGATCAACTATGTTATACTCTGCTAAAAGGTTCAGTACAAAAAGGACTAAGCATTGATCATTGAGTTAGTAATGGGAAGGTACTGTGATCTGACAAAAGAAGTTTCAGTGGAATAATAGGTTTGAAAACCTTATTGGAAGCTGGGCATGGTGGTGCATGCCTGTATTCCCAGCACTCAGGAAGCTGAGGCAGAAGGAACAAGAGTCTGAAGCCAGTCTGAGCTACAGAATGAGACCCTGTCTCAAATGAAAACAAAAACATTATTGGAGAGGGTTCAAAAGAGAATGGAAGAACCAAAAAGGAGAGAAAGAGAGAACAGAGAAAGAACTAGAATTCTGGGCTACCAATGAGACCCAAAGCGATAAAGGGAATTGCATAGAATTAGCCCAAAATTCTATATGCAATTTCCTTTTTAAGCATTACCAAAATCCTAAGTTATGCACAAGAACAGTAAGACTCTCAGAAACCAAGTGGAAATCAGCAGACAGTTGCTGAAGAGCTGAGCAAAGATTTCCATAGATTTACTGTGCTAGGAAGATGGAGGTAGGAATTAAATACCTTTCAAGTTGTAAATGATCCAACTCATCAGCTGAAGCATCAAAAGGGCTACTTCGCAGAAGATGTGTATAACCTAGGAGTAAGAGCTAGGCCCTAAGAGTAAGAACCACTTTCTAGGTGTAAACTCTCTACCACAGGTACAAGGAATAAGTGAAAACTAAAAAAATATCAGCTGTAACAAAACCTACCCTCGACTAGATCGGAAAAAAATTTTTAATTCTCTTTAAAGGAAGCAAATACAGACACAGCCCTGAAAACTCATCATGACTGATGCTTGCCATCCCACAAAAATGATCACATAAGCAAGGTAACAGAGCCAAATGAATGAAAATCAACAGAAAAATATAGACAATAGAAATAGATGCTTGAGGCTGGTAGAGTGACTCAAGTGGTAGAGTACCTACCTAGCAAGTGTTAGGCGCTAAGTTCAAACCCTAGTGCCAAAAAAAAGAAACAGGTGCTTGAGCAAATGAGAAACTTTAAAATAGCTGTGATTAATATATTCAAGAAAATAAAAGAAAAATTGGAAAGTATTACAAACTATTGAAATCGATATAAAATGGAAACTTAAGTTTTTTTCTTTTTTTTGGTGGTACTGGGGTTTGAATTCAGAGCCTTGCACTTGCTAGGCAGGCACTCTATTTCTTAAGCCACTGTGCAAGCCCTATATAATGGAAATTTTAGAACTGAGAAACCTAACAACTGATATTAAGGATGCATCAGATGGATTAAATAGCAGACTAGGCACACGCAAAAAAGAGGATTCACGAAATGGAAGATAGCATAGCAAGAAAAAAAAATCCAGACTGAATTACAGGGGGAAAAAAAAAAAGAAATGAAAAAAAGCAAAACATAAAACCTGTAAGAAACATGGAAAATGGTGGCAAAATCTAACATACAGGTAACTGGAGTTCAAGAAAAAGAGAAGAGAATGAGAGTCATAATAACTGAAGTAGTCACAGTTGAGTTAGAAATTCCTCACAGAAAGGAAACTTGAAAATTCTCAATTGTTTGATTTTAAGGCCAAAGGAATAACAACAAAAATTAGAAAATAATTAGATGTGAACAATAAAGCACTTCCTACTATCAATTTCAAAGTTTGTGTTGTTAGAATTCATGTTTGAGTCCGCAAATTTTCAATCTTAAATTTTCTATTTTTCTTTCTTTTTTTTTGGTGGCATGGAGGTTTGAACTCAGGGACTCATGCTTGCCAGGTAGGCTCTCTATTGCCTGAGCCACTCTGCCCAGCTTAAATTTTCTAGAAGCAAATGATACTCAGTTTTCAACATGAAACTGAAAATGTTTACAAAAGGAACCACAACTAGGTAAAATTTACCTCTACTAGATTGCTAGCTCATAAGCAATATCCTCATGAAATAGTTTCCCCAATGAGTGAAAGGAAGATAAAAAGTCAAGACCAAGAAAACTCCGATGAACCGGCATCCACAGTAAGAATAGTTTTCCTGCTGGACTACTCAAGTTTAACTCTTTTCTGACAACTAGGCACAACAGTAACAAGCCTGAGGCAAACTTCCACGTAGCTCCTTCTGTAGACATCTCTTTCCAAAGCTCCTCGAAGTGCATGCTCAGAAATTCTGCCCAGGAATCCATGACAAATACACATGTTACAGTCACTCTCAGTATGATAACTTTACTCAGAGTAACTACCTAACCAAAAGAAAAACCCACTTGGACTTTAACTTCTACTAATAATCCCAAAGTCAGCACACATATTTTTTAAAGGAAGTGATTACTACTACATTAAAAATACGTAAGTCAGGGCTGGAGGCATGGCTCAAGTGACAAAGTGCCTGCCTAGGAAGCACAAAGCCCACTTATTTATTTACTTATTTTTTTGTAAAAAAAGAAAAAAAGAATCAGCTTATATGACATCTCTCTAATTCATCAGAGAAAATTAATTGTTGTTGGCTTTCCAGTAAAAACAATGGCTTTCAGTATAGAACTGCAACCCACAGATCTCCTGGCATTATCTTCAGCAGCCCAGGACAGTACTGTGTTACCAGCTGATGTTGAACATTTTCATGACGCTGCTTGAGAAGTTCTTCTGTCCTCTGCAGGAGACCAAATTCAGCTTTAAATTCAGCTATTATTTGATGCTTCTTTTTGAAAACTGTGCTCTTGCTTCGAAGTTTACTGACATATCTTTTGAACTGTAAAAAAACACAGTATGTAATGTAATGAGTAGACAAGTAGTATCCAAGTATCCTATACAATCACAATGCACTAAAAATTTTTCTTTTCTACTTACTAACACATGTGTATAATAATAACTACTCAATTAAAACATTGCATGTACATTTTTATTTTTGGACCATCTAGATACTCTACATCTTTATATAAAAGTTATTCACTTTAGACTGTACAAATAAGGAATTAAGAAAATGAAGTTCAACCCTTTTATAAAAGAAATAGCATTTTAAAAGGAGGGGAAAAAGAGATGATGACTACAATTCTTGCTATGGTTTTATCATAGCATAGCTTACATACTGTACTGTTTTAGTAGGAGTGTGCTGGATTTGCTGGGATTAATGTAGACAACCAGAATCACTGAAACTTGTAGCAAAAATTTATCACTTAAGGAATGTGCTGTGATTGTATTTCCTAGGAAGCATCTGAAACACTGGGATGGTACTCATCCTAAATGTTTTAAAAAGTACAAATATTTCATGTTAGTGGGATCTTGTAGTCATTTAATTCATCTATTTACCTACTCATGATATCAAAGCTATGACTACTCTATACTAATGGAAAGACTCCATTATTAAGTAATACCAACTAGACTTCAGAAAAATCAAATGAAAAAAGGTGAACATAATATTTAAAGAAATTCGTAAGTGTTATTTAACATATATCATACACTAGGCAATGTGCCAGACAGAGAATACAACTCTAATCAAGGTCCTGCCTTTATGAAACTTAAGAGAGAGTGGGGAAAATAACAATGAACTGGGGTTTACAAAAATGGAGAACATTACAAAGAACTAAAGATGACCTGAGAACAACCAACATGAGTTTAACCTAGGTCAGGATGCAGAAAGAAAGGCAAGGGTTGGGATTAGGAAAGATGGGCTACAGTAAGCTTCTTGGAATAAATTATATTGAAGTTAAGCCTGAAGGAGTAGACATGTGAGAGAGAAAGGCAAAAGAACCAGAGAAGAGCACTTCAGAAAGTGGGGAAAGCATATGTAAAGGTACTGAGGCATTGATTTAATGAAGGTACTGCTCAATGTGAGAAATGAATGCCAGAAACAAATGTAAGAAATTTCAGATATTCTGAAACAGAATACTTAAAAACAAATCACTTCCTCTTATATGTCATTAATACTAATACTTTTCATATTTCTTACTGTACAAAATAAAATTTTCTGCTCTATAGCTGAACACTATGGCTCAAGTCTGTAATCCTAGTTACTTGGAAGGTGGAGATCAGGAGGGTTGTGGTTTGAGGCCAGCCCAGACAAAAAGTTGGCAAGACCTCATCTCAACCAATGGCTGGGCATAGTGGTGCATGCCTGTCATCCCAGTCATGTAGGCAGGCCCAAATAGGAGGACTGCAGTTCAGGCTGGGCCAGGCATAAAGGGAGACTTTAATCTCAAAAATAACAAATGCAAAAAGGACTGGCAGAGTGGCTTGAGTGGTAGAGTGCCTACCAAGCAAGTGCAAGGCCTTGAGTTCAATCCCCAGTACTGCAAATTAGAAAAGTTGGAAATGATAATAATCATCACTATTATTATCATATTTGGGGGCCTCTATGCTTTGTTAACTTAACTACACTATAACGGAGCCTCTGTGTAAGAACTCAGCCTCCCACACTAGACACATCTCATGAAGACAGAGCAAGCTCCTGTGCTGTGTAATCTGGAGCAACTCTCTGAAGCTTGGCTTAGTTTTTTAATGCCCTGTGCTTCTTAACCCTACTTTTTAGGGGGAGGGGAGCTTAATAAATAATATTATAAATAATGAAGTAATGAACAGATTACTGAAATTTTGCAAAATAGTAAAAAGGAAAAATTCAAAGCCTCTGTCCCAATGCAAGCTCTATTACTACAAGGGCATTTTTTCTTCCAATTTTAAGGCTAATTATAAGGTCACTAATTCTAAATTATAAGGCAGTAAAACTGGGTACAGAACTTCTCAACTGCATTTTTCTTAATGACTTAATTGCTTCCTGAGTAAGCAAAGAAATTCCTTAAAAGTAGTAAGATGAAAAATTTTTCATGTAGAAATAATTCTTCAATTCCTACATGACTTAAATTTGGAAGAACTGAAGAACGCATTGTATTTCAGAGGAAGGAAGTTGAAAATAATTTTCTATCCACAATTGACTTAGAATTTAATGTTAAGAATCCAGCCCCCACACAGCAAATTTTCAATAGCTGGGTTACAGACACTGCTCTAAAATTTTAAGAAATACCAATGTACCTAGAATCTAATAACTTGTTAATTTCCCTTTTAAAGAATAAATGTGTAAGCTTGATATATCCACAGACTCAAAAATCCCTAGAGTAACTATATGTTCTATTAAAAGTGTCCTGGGCTAAGTGCCCAAAACAAAACCAACTCTGTTCCTCTGCTATCCTCTGTTAACATCTAGGCTACAGCCCTTCTCTATCTTCTGTGCTCAAGAACTATTTATAAAAGCTAAAAGCTAGAGATGTTTTTGGTGAAAGAACAAAGCCACAAAATACTCAACGTGCTCTATGTAGACTGGTTATTATGTGACAGTCATTGTACATACTACCAGGGGACGGAGTCAGGTCACAATAATCACATTTCTACACAGAGAAGCAACGGGTAGCCATTGAAGCATCTAAGGACTCTACTACCACACTCATTGGAAGAAAGGAAACACATTATCCATGGTTTTCTCCATTGAAAGTTTCTTCAAATCATTTGGATTTTAAGTTATTTGCAAGTTTTCAATATCATACAAAAACACAATCTTCAGACACTTTTTGTTGCTGTTGTGATTGTTTTTGAGACAGGGTCTCACTGTGTAGCCAGGCTGGCCTCAAACACATACTCCTCCTGCCTCGGCCTCCCGACTGCAGGATTTACAGATGTGTATCAGCATGCCCAGTTCATAATCTTTCTAATAATTTCCGTAAAACCTATTTCCAGAAACATTCAAAAGGAACATAGGTTTCTGATGCATTCTGCTAAACTGTCCTTCAAAAGGCTAGTTATAACACTCTTAAAATCAATCTAATAAGCAAAATACTATCTTACTTCTAACTTGATTTCTTTAGTAGGAAATACCACTTTTTCACATTTATTGTACATACATGGAAATTTAAAAATTTGTCCATTTTTGGCCCACTTTTTAATTGAGGTGCTTGTCTTTTTCCTGTATATCTGTAATAGTGAGTCTCAAACTTTTCTGATCTAAGGAGCACTTGGTATATATTTTTTTAAAGTACTGGAATTTGAACTCATGACCTCGTGCCAGGTGCTCTATCACTTGAGCCACATCTCCAGTCATTTTTATTTGTTTGTTCTGGCCTTAATTATTTTTCAGATAGGGTCCCATGGTTTTGCCTTGGGCCAGCCTTGAACCTCCACCCCTCTACCTATGCCTGGCCTACATAGCTAAGATTACAGAAGTGCCCCACCCCATCTGCCTTATCTGTTGAGATGGAGGTAGTTTCCTTAATTTGTTGATGGGCTGGCCTTCAAACCATTATTCTCCCAATCTCCGCCCCCCTCCCTCCACAGCTGGGATTACAGGTGTGTAGCACCTGAGCTCCCTATTTTTTTGAGGCAGGGTCTCATTACACAGCCCAGGCTCGCCTTGAACTCACGCTCCTGCCTCAGCCTTCCAAATTCTATTACAGGAGTAATACATACCCTTCAAATTACTGAGAATCTCAAAGAGGTTTTGTTTATGTATTTTCTATCTACTGATATTTACCATATTAGAAATGAAAACTGAATATATTCTAAAATAGAAAAAATATGTATCTATATCGTTTACTACCAAAGTGATGGCATTTTCACACAGAAAGCCTCTACTCAGGAAAATGAGAGTAAGCACTGCTCTCTCAAACTCCCGTGCCGCCAAAAAAAAAAAAAAAAAACCTAACAAAAAACTGCCCTCCCTTCCTGGCCATGTGGCTCCCAGCTTTTTGGGAGGTGGAGATGGGGAGGATCATGGTTCAAGGCCAGCCTGGAAGAGAGAGTTAGTGAGATTTGACCTAAACAAACAAGCTGGGTGTGTTGGAACATACTTGTCTGTAATTCCAGCTATGCCAGAGGCATAGGTAGGAGGAATGTGGTCCAAGGCTGGCCTTGGCAAAAAGCATGAGCCCCTATCTGATATATAACTAAAGCAGTAAGGGCTGGGGTCATGGCTCAAGTGTTAGAGCACCCACCTGGCAAGCACAAGGCCCTGAGTTCAAATCCTTATACCCCCACCCCCCAAAAAAAGAACTGCTGTCCCCTTCCTAATTCAGAGGAGTGATGGTGAGGACGAATGGGAGTGGCAAAGAGGCATGTAGGTCCACAGGCCAAAAACGCAAGGCAATGAAAAGGCTTGAGGAGTCATGCAAAGCATGGACCAGTGGGTAGTAATCAGGGACACAGGACAGTGAGGGGTATGGAACTGCAGATCAGCAGGCTGAATGCTAAGTATGTGGAATGAGGAGGATGGGGACTGAGAATCATATGGAAACCTAGGCTATTAGGCATGGCAGCTGGTGACACAGAAGTTGAGGGACAGTGGGAAGCCACAGTAAACACTGACACTGAGGGTCAATGTGGGCTGATGAGGTGGGGGCAAAAAATTGCAGTGTGGAGGAGAAAGACAGAGTAACTGATAGATTAGCTAAATTGAACAAAAAAGTTAAACTGATTAAGCCAGGTGTGGTGTTGCCCATCTCTGATTCTAGCACTTGGGAGCCTAAGGCTGGAGGACTGCAAGTTTGGAGCCAGCCTGGGCTCAAATGACAGGACCCAAGTCTCAGAAGGAAAAAAAAAAAAAAAAAGAAAGAAAAGAAGAGAATAGCAAAGGCTAAAAGCTAATTGTGCATATAGGTAAATGATGCAAAAGGGAAACTAGGAGTCAGATTTCTCAATGACAGAAAAGGTATTTTTAAAGTAGCAAATGAGAAAAGCTAGGAAAGAGTGCTACGGTGTAGGGTGTTAGAAACC